TTGGCATTAAAAAGTATCAACATTTCTGCCAGGAAATGCTGGGAGTGGAAAGGAAGTGATAATTTCTCTTGCAGATAGACAATAAAAAGTACCTTCTCTGCAATGAGTCTGGAAAGAAAGCATTTACAAGGAGTTTGTGTAGGGTTAATAGCATATTACTTAATTACCTGACACATTTAGTTTGGAACTAATGAACAAGTGTTTAAGAAGGATTATAGTATAAATATAGATATTTAAAATCAATCTGGAATCAAATATATTGTAGAAAAAGATGTCTCTTAGGTCTATGGGGAGATGCTGCATGGTTGGCTCTCCGGACATTTTAACTAAGCAGCCACATCTCCATAAGGTGTCTGTTGGAGGCAATCAGTTATATTAACTGTACAGTTATTCAAGACCAGACAATGTTGCAGGTACATAAAAGAATCCTGGATAGTGAACTGAGGTCTTTTGCCAACTTCCTCATGTTAAAGCGCAGAGCCTCACCAGCAGTGCAATACAAGAATACCCCATAAATTTCATAGGTGATGCAGAGAAGGCTCCATATTTATCTTTCTGTGGTTGTTAAAAAAAATCTACATGTTTAATAATGGACTTCAGATTTTACAATGAACTTGTGAGAAATGGCAGCATTCAGATGTCTCATATTTTTTAATTAACCCCAGTGGCGGGTTTCTATACAAAATGCATTTGCACATTCCCAAAAGGAAACATGCAAGGGCAAAGTCCGATTAGGAATGTGACTGGAAATATTTGTGTTCCAGCGAAGCAATATAAATGTAAGACAGAAGTTAGTTTAAGAGAATACCATAAAGAACCTCACTTCTGACCAGTGTGACTGACAATAGTATGATGCAAACTATTAACTTCTTGTCTGAATCCAAAGGATATTTCCGTTTAGTGTTCACATCAGTTTTTCAAGTCACTTGATTTGCTTCTGGTATGAAAAAGGACAAGGGCAGGAACAAAAGCTGGAACTTGCACTAAACTCCTTTAATTCACCTTAACCTCCTAAGAAGAGGTACGTTGATGTTTCTGCCTGTTCAGCATTTACAAACAATGCCCATGCATTCTAAAGTTACCTACCTGGTGCCCAACTAAGATTGCACAGATAAGCAAGGATGTTCTCCTTGGAAGCATAAAAATAACTTTTAAATTACATTTTAATTTTTTTAAAGTTATACAAATATTTATGACAGTATTTTTATTTTAATCTTTTTTAAACTATTAAGTTTTTACAATAGAGATCACACCCCTTCATGTATTTCTATGGTGTTCTGACCCTGACTACTTCTCTCAGGCTGTCCCCCAGCCTCTTTATTATTTATTTATTGAGAAACATTTGAGAGCAAACGATCCCCATGGATTTCTTCATTATCGCTGTGTAAACTTCCTTGAAGATACAAATGATGTTTTTCCTTAGAGGCTGCCCACAAAGGGAGTGTTTGAAGTACACATAAACGCACACTGCAAATCACATATAAGCAACAGGTACTTGGGTTACATGCAATACATGCTGGAGTGCTGGATTCCTGTTGTTGCAAGGTCAAAGGGAACCCTCAGTTTTCTAGAGCTGGAGTCACTCAGAGCTGAGAGTTCACAAGTAGGACTGCTCCAACCAGTCTGGACATTTAGCTTTGTGTTATTATCGGAATAAAAACTAAACAGCAATGTAGCTGAAGAAAATACAGATTTTATACAGAACCGATGGTTCTGGTTTATGTGGGTTTTATTGGTGATTTTGTGTCTGCTGCTCAGTGTCTTATGCATCCATTATATGACACTTCTAAGCCTAAAGCTTTTTATACACTTTCAGGAACTTCCTTTGTGGAAGACAGATGGGAAGCAAGACCCAAACCTGTCTTTCCCATTCCAAACTTTCTGACTGTGCTATAATAAAGTAGTCAATTGTGTCTTGCCGTATTTCTTAGCAAATGGCTACCTTATAGTCCAAAAACACAATTTACAAACATAAAATTAACAACGGCTCTAAGAAAACATTAATATTTGTGTTGTTACATATTTTCATGCACCTTAAGCACTTCAGGGGTATTAATCTGTTCCTGTCATTGGACTATGCACACTTTTTGTTACATTTTTCTATTTACAGTACCACCAAACACCAATGGTTCTTAAAACACTCAGAATCTGGAAAATCCAACTGAAATTGCATTCTAAAAGCAAAGGAACATCAAGCCAGGCTTAATAAGGAAAAGAGATTTGCACAATATATTTACACCATTTTCAAACATTTTTGCCAAACTTCATGAAAGATTACTAGAGTGCTGCAGCAGAAGAAATCAGTGTTGGATTTTAATTTTACACTTAATATTCTTTTTTCAGTAAGTGTAAGACCATACTAATCAGACCACTTAAACACAGGAGTCATTATCTCTTTTCTCAACATTTTCTTTTTGAGCAGCATTTGTTTACTGCTGAACATTTTTTTGTTCTCTGATTTGATCACATTTGTGATGAAACCTACCCTTCAGTTATTTTTTGTCTGTCATATAAAAAATTAAAAGAACCCATAGACCAGCATTTTTGTGCAGGTTTGTTGGTACTTGATAAGGCACAGAAGTACACTCCTGTGCTTAAAAATTACTGTATAATCATAAGACTTGCAAAATGGCTTACACGGGCAGATGTTGATTTTTTTTAAAATCAGTGCCTGTTTTATTCTAATGTAGATACTATGTCAGTTCCTTGATCTGCAGTTACCTTTTGACAAAAGTACTGTAACATATAACCAGGGCTTTCTGACTTTCAGTTTGGTCAGATGAACTAATTCTAGAAAGTGTTAACAGTATCAGATTTTCAAAGTTCTCATGGGATAACTTGGCAGCATGCTATTTTAAGAGTTGGCCTCTTAAGTATGCCATATTTAGTGGGACAACTGAAAGCTTCTTAGATGCAAAGGAAATGCTTGCACTAAAGTATCGTAAGTTATATTTCATTTATTATGAAATTCTTTTTGATTTTACAAGAAATGTAAGACAAATATGAATGTGTTCTTTTGAGAAGCATTTTCTGTATTTTGATTTAAATAACTGTTATGATTTTATAGCTCACGGCCGTAAACCACAAAGAGAAAAGTTCATGCTGAAGTGGCAAAATGAAATGTGATGTAGCTTGTATATTGATCATTGTTTCAATAAAGAATTTGCACAGAGTATGCTGAGTCTGTACACATTCAACAAAATATTTATGGTACCACAACACCACTTTCCCACAGAAATGGATACTTAATAGCCTACATCCTGCACTAATTTGGAATAACCAGATCAAACCTTTCCTATGGCCATTTTTTTCTCTCCCTGTCTTACATCTCTATACTTTCTTCTGTCCCCAGCAGCTCTGATGTGCTACTTCTCAAATAAGAACAGAATAAAGTTAGTTGTCAGGACAAGTGTTTCTGCACCCCAGGCACCTCTGTTCCAAACTAACCTTTTTATAAGTCCCCAAACAGATATTTTCCCCCTAGCTGTACCAGGCTCTAATGCTGTGAACTATATTTAGCTCTCCAGCTCCCAGGCCCAAACTGAGTCCTTTTACTCTTCCAGTAAAGGCTGATTTGTGAATCTATGGTATGTGTAAGTCTGTAAATTGGGAAAAGGCAGTAATGTAAACTGTAGCTAAGTTACCAATTTCTTATTCAAAATCAGAATGTATGGCAGAAAATGATTAATGTGGCAGACTCATGACACTGATGTTATGAGAAGCTGTTTCATACAACAAGACAAGGCAAAAATGAGAAAAAAAAAGCCAGCCTTATATAGCATAAAGAAAACATGTAAAACCTTGCTTATGATTGAGTAGAAATTCAGCATTACCATAAAATTCTTTTGCCATTCTATAGCCAGTTTCTATTTTGAGATCAGATTCCTGTTACATCTACTCTAACCAGAACCTTTCCTATGTGGCTAAGGACCTTAGGCATGACAATAGTACCAGAGTTATCAAAAAGAGCCTTTTCTCCCTTATATGCCATTTAAAAAATTATTTTCAAGACTATTTAGCTATGTATCAAATGCCATTCACAGACTACCACCCTGTCCTGTTGTGGAGCCACAGAGTTTGAGATTTCATGTTGAAGATGCAGAAGCTGGACCTTCTGAAATATATTTACCTTCTTTTGTACAGGTTTTGATCTTACCACACAAAAACTATTCTTATTTATTAACAATTCAGGCCCAGTCATTCTCAATTGATAAATACAGAGAAGCAAAATAAATGCCAGAAAGACATTCCTCTTTCTGAAGCCTCTTATTGCTTCAGCCTCAAGATTAGCCCTGACTGACAGACAGCTCCTGAGTTATCTGGGCATCATTTAACTCCTTCCTGCTGGTGAACACTACCATAGTCAGAAAACAGAATTCCAAAAAGAAAAATAAAATACCAGCCAGAAATAGAAGCTCCCTTCTAAGGAGATATGCATAGATCTTTCCTATTTAAAATGCTTTGTTATCTGTCTCTCTAATATGTGCAGAGTAAACAGCCTCAGGAAAAGGCAGTAAAAAATAGAGAGAAATTTAGGAAGATTAAGATGGAAATCTTTTATGCTCACTGAAAACATCCAGAGGTGATTTATCTTCAAAGTATATTAAATTCTAACTTGTTTTATCATAAACATGCTCAAGTGAAGAAAAAGGAGATTCCTGAAAACAATGACATTTTCACTCATCAAAGCAAATTATCACAGAACTATGAAACATATTTCCCAGTCCTTCTCTTAGAATGTCTTTTATCAGGGAAGATATTTCCCATCCTTTTTATGGTTTTTATGGTTCTGCCTAGGTGACAGCATCTTCTTTATGGGTTTAGTGGAAGTGCATTTCTTTTCTGCTGTCTTCTTGGTGAAATATTCTCTACCCTGTGTGATCTCCTTTTGTGAGATCAAAAAAGAATTCAATATTCCATTGAAGATTTATCTTCTTGTTTCATTTTTCCAGTCCAAAATCTTATTTTGAGTTCTGTTTTACTGCTTAGATTTATTTTTTTTTTGTTTGCCTTAAAATTCTTCATATTTTAAAATAAATCAGAGGATTCTAGTGGGTTTTTTTAAGTTGCTTGCTTTGGGGCAGGATTGCTCACACCTATACCTATAATTCAATTTTAATTATGGAGACATACAATTAACTACTTCCAGGGTGGTGCAGGATGAACTAATCAATAGACAGCAGCATGTTTTTTTGCTGAACAGCATCAAGAGAACAGGTAAATCCATAATTCCCAAGACACAAGTGGAATAAATGTCATCATTCATTTGTGAGTCTATGGGCATGTTATGTTCCTTTGTGTGTTCATCTGAAAAAAGTAATATATGATAAACCTCTGCCTTAACACAATTCTTTTCCCATCACGGATACAATAGCACATTTGCATCATCCATACATCAGTTATCCACTACCTTGATTGGTTTATTTTACTCATTGGATAGCTGGCCAAGTGCAAGGGCCTCTCTAAAATTGGTATTTCTGAAGAGACTGCAGACAGCTTCAGGACATTATGTAAATCAAGTGAATTTCAAATTAATTGATAAATGCTTTTCCACTTTTTTTTTAAACTGAAATGCTGTATTTCTATATAGGCTAATATTTACACACTAACGGAGTCTGAGTTTAACTAGAAACTCAAATTTTCATAAGCATGAAGGAAAGTGACAGTAATCTGCTGCTGAATAAAACTGGTTTTTGCAACTACAGTTTCTACATTTCATAATCCCCGTGTAATCTCTCTTAAGCACAGAGCTCACTCTTTAATATATGTGCCCCAAAAGAGGTGAAAGGATCCAAATCTCTTTTATTCATGTAGACTGCATCAGACTACTAGTTATTTTATTAGAACATATAATAGACCTAGCCTGACACAGTAACTCCTGTTGCAGTTACCAGAAATAGTCCCAGAGCATTAGCCAAATGTTATATGATACACCACCACTGGGAACTATGTTCCTATTCTACACCAATTCTAGAAAAGAAACTTCAATAAAAAACCATCTCTTCTCAGCAGGGAAGCAGGGAATGAAAGCATCTGAAGGACTTAAATTTCACATGTTCTTCAGTGGAAAAAATAAAACCCATCTGAAACTGCAGGAAATGATTGAGGACCTTGTAAAATTGATGCAGGAGCAAAAATATCACCCAAGAGACGAGGTCACTGCAGCACAGAAGCTCATCCCAATAGTCAGCTGTCACTTGTCAGACAGTAGCTACAGACACTTCTCAGGGTAATCCATGATATTGTGAGGAGACAAACATTGTCATAGATCACGTAAATTAGCCGAATCCAGAAGACAATGGACAGTGTTGCAAGATGCAATTCCCAGACTGCTCAGCTGATTGTGCCGCCTCTGAAACTCAAGCCCTTTTCCTGACTAGAGATGGACACTGGGAGCATCACCAAAGACACTGTGCTGTGGTGGTGGAGTGTGACCTTTGAATGAGAACCCTATTCTTCCCTTCCGGCTTGATGTTGTGATCAAAGTGCCCACTCCTTCTTTATTTGCACTACATTATAATAGGGACTAAACATGGGCTCATCAGTGAGGCAACTGCTGAAGACCCTGTGAGTGCATGAGGAAAGAGCTGTACTGGCAGGTGTGAGCTTACTTTTGTATTGTACCAAAGACTTTCCCAGAGGCCTGCCAGCATTCAAGTGGGAAAGGACTGTGATGCTGTGCTTTTGGACAAATCTGGTGCAGACAAGAACAGGTGGGTGGGAGTGAGCTGGAGGCAGCCTAGGACAGTCCAATAGACATGGAAGATGACCATCCCACGATTGTTACTAGAAAACACCTCCAGCAAAATCGTCTCCCTGTCCCTATCCTCTCTACTCTAAAGAACTATGTCACACTTTGGCAGCTCCTTGTCCTACCTATTCTATCTCTGACCAACCAGATTCACTTCCTATTGAGCAGCTACAAGGTTGTCTAATCCTAATAGATGTTTGCTGTGGCTCTCCTTGCCTTGACTCTCCCTATTATTTATTTACAAGAAGGCATGAGATTTATTTGCCAGCACACATGTAAAAAGCTGGTCCTCAGAGACCTAACAGACTGACTACTCTGTTCCAAAGGAGGATATGCAAAAGCTAGGCACATAAAGATGAATTAATAGATTTAAAGCCTCTGTCTGGTTAAGCCCTGTCTGTTTATTCATCTTCTCATTCTGTAATGGAAGAATGCTGGCCAAATAAACAAAGTACCATATGACCTATTGCTGTGTTTTAACAGTGTTCTGTATTCTTTATTTTAACCTGTAAAAATTGAGTAGTGAAAGGTTAGAGAGCACAGATTCTAGAATTAATCACAAAATTTTCTTCTCACCATGACATAAACTCTATTCTGTGTCTATTCGCTATTTGCAGAACAAAGACAGGATATCCTAGAAAAATCAATATTTTCTCAGTGATGGTGGTTGTCCTCAGCTTGCCTCCAGGTAACACAATGAAAGGTTTTAACAAAATGTCAGTTAGCAGAATTTATAGCAAACGCTTTTGATCAGGTTCCTTGTTTGGAAAATTACTACAGTAAGGATTCCCATTTTGTAAATGAGGTCTGTTGACTTTATATTGACTTACCACATAATGGATTGTAAAAAACCAATTTTACTGGAGCAAAATTTTACAGTCTTTCACAAGCCTGGCCTGTTGATGCACATTTTTTCCTTTTCTTGTAACAGTCTGCTATAGGATATGATAGGTACTACAAAACTTCATTGCTCTACCCATGCAATTAGAGAAATTTTATTGAAATACAGAATGATAAAAAGAGAAGTCTCCCCTCATATTTTTTTTCCTTTCTAAAGCTATCATCAATAACTCTGTAGTTTGTGTCATGCTGTAGCCACAAAAAAAAAAAATGAGACAGTTGTTGATAATTTTTCTGTCCACCAGCCTAGGCCATGCCACTTCATAAGTGTTGAGAATTTGCTGGCTATGGAGAGGCCAAAGCATGTATTCTCAAGGGGCTGAAAGGAAAATGTTCCACAAATGCCAAGCTGGAACTTGGCACCATGGTCATTTGGCAGATGAACAGCACTGTACATAAACAAGTAGAGAGAGCTTAAATTCTAAATATCCTCTAGAGAAAAGATAAAAAACAGTTCCTAGGAACAGTGAACAGAAGCTGTCAGGCAAACTAAGATCACTGATTTTTGTCATGAATGACACGATTATGGCTGTTTGGTCTGGATGGGAATGAATGATTATGCAGTACAAAGTACTGTGTTCTCCAATCTCATGAGAGATTCCACTTACACTCATTAGTTAAGGCACTGTGTCACATTTGTTAGATCTTAGGGCTTAAATACTGTATTTTACTCATTAATCCAATTATCTTCCTTCTTCACCACATCTTTAGATGACATTAATGTATCATCATCAGTTAACAGAAACTTTTTCTATTTTTGTGCATATCTATGTAGAGGAAAATACATAGGCTGTAGAATAGCCACTGATTTTCCACTCAAATGCACTGCTTCAAAATTAAGCTGACCAAGCTGCAATTTTATTTCCACACCTCTCATACTTTTATTATGCAACACACAAACACTAAAAATAAGAATATATATGGCTCAGAGTTTAGACTGCCAGCTGGCTATCTGACAAAAGAACAGATTAAGCAAGGTAGCAGGATCTCTGATCCAGCAGATGAACAGGCTGTATTTTGCCTTCTGCATATTAATGCTGTTCAGATCTGAAGGGGATCTGCTGTGACCCATGAGCACTTTAGCTCTGCATTGCACAGCACTCAGGATATTCAGTAATCTGTTACCACAACCCTCAACCTTGATATCTTTCAGTCACCATCCAATACCAATTCAGGGTTTTGTAATGCACTCTTACAAAAGCTTTCAAAACCTTACTCTGCACTGAAACAGTAGGCACCCTTCTGAGAGACCAAAGTATAGCCTTGCTTTTTGTCTTGGGAGGACTTTAATCCACATCCAGTTTCCTTCTCTTAAAATACAACCAAAGATTAACAGAGAGTGGAAAAAGAACCTTCAAACTTTCAAATAACTTGCTAAATGTCAAATAAGCATATTCAGTTTTAAATACTAACACTAAACTACTACTGTGCAAAGTGGCATTCCGCTCTCTTCCCTTTTCCAGGTCTTTCCTTTACAGTCCATTACTTTCTCTTTGTGGGCCTGAACTACACCCTACACCAAAAAATCTATGCTTGTATTCTGCTTTTTCTTGCACTTACTTGTGGCTTGAAAGAAATCCAGTTGTGCAGTTAGGCCCAGATCCAGAAAAACACATGAGCACATGATTTATATATATGAATAGTGCTATTGTGCAGGATGCAGGCTCTTTCCCAATATTCCCATCAGCCTTTTTCCTGCTGTTGCCTTTGTTCCCCATTATTGCATGTGGCTTTTCTGTTTTTTCCAAGATTTTCCTATAAATTCAAAACCAGGCACAGTCTATGTGTATGATTATGCTCAGAATGGAGAGGAGTGGGGTCTCAGAAGAACTGAGATATGAAATACACACGCAACTGTGTTTAAAATGAGATGTCAGACAGTTCTCAGCACCACTTTTCATCAATTAACATGTATCAGAACACCAGTTGGATATCCTGCTTGTTCAACTTGAACTTTAGGAAGCTCATTCTGGTAGCTAATTTAGCTAGGGGAAATACCATTAGAGAAGTAGTGAAGGTTTATGAGTTACAGTTGGGACATTAAGCACTAAATATTCTAAACCAAAATGACTTAAAACTAAATAGTATGGATTCTGTGATATTGTGAACCTTTTAATACTCTTTCACCTATGAGCAGTGGTATATATTTTGAGGTGAGATATAAATGTGTTTCAAACAGTCCCATAAGTAAAATAAACATTTACAGTTAGGTATTAACTGAGACTGATCAGTAACATGAATTCTCCTGGAAAAAATTTCATGTACTCAAGTCACTTCAATTATCATGCTTTTGGCTTAGGAATACCTCTTGGAGATTCCCACGTGTTGAACAAGGCATTTATAAGTGCTGCTGTGATATTTACTCTAGAATGCCAGATGTGAACTCTTTGCAGGTGTGCCTGACATGGTGCAAGTTCGCATGGATGATTTCAGTGTGAAGGTGCGCCAATGTCTGCTATACCTCTTATACTATAAGTATAGCAGAAATACCAGTGCTGGCCAAACACTTTCATAAACCCTAATGGGAGTCAACAGCATAACCCAGGGAGATGTTCACAACCTTGCAGAGTCAAAGTGCTGTTATCACATTCTCAGCTTTCTGAGATTAAAATCAGGAAGGAAATTTGAAAGTTGAAAGAGCGATTAAAAAACTAACTGTATTGCATTAGTGACTTGTAATGCATGCAACATCATCATCTCTGGTTCTCAGAGAAAGGGATAATGATTTTGGTGAGAAATTTTGGTTCAGCAACGCATACAAGGTCAAGAACAAGAAGTTGATATAACTGTAAAAGTACATTCAATGCTATTATCCTGATAAAATAAATTTCTAGTAGCTCAAAGCCCTTTAATTTGATATTGCTGGGGTATTTTGAAAACACAGGTGATAAGCTTTTGTGTTAGAGCTCATTTGAGTTGAATTTTAAGTCAGCAAATGCTCTGGTGCTAACAACTTACTAAATGTTTCCAGGCAACAGAAAGAAAGTAGCAAAAGGTAAACAATTCAAATATGCTAAAGAGGAACAAACTGATACAAAAATAAAACCTCCTTCTGTTTGAAGCTACTCACGTCTAAGCAATGTTTACTCCTTCTCTGTTTCATGCATTAAGAGGAAGTACAGAGTCCCACAAAACAAGGGTCAGTGTTTTTCAGATTTTTTTCACTGTGTTATTTCCTCAAAAGTTCCTCTGATTATTTTTAACACTTCAGCAGAAAATTGCTTCAACCCATGAAAACCACTACAGAGTCTCCAAAGGCTTGATAAAGTCACTGAGGTTGATTGAATGTCTCCCTGTGCTTTACATACCTCTGCTGTGTGTGTTGGGGGTTAATTGTTTCCCTGCAATCACTCTTGTGAGGCCTGCATACTGGGATATAGAGTCTATTTTTTGGGTCTTGTGATACTTACATTTTTTACAGCTCTGGCAAACCAGAGGTGCTGAAATTGCAGTTTGTGCCAGCTGACAGGAGCTGCTGACTGTAGTGAACTCCCCTTGGGCTAGCCAAGGTCCAAAAGTGCTCTCTGGTATTTTTCTGATTTTCAGTGAATACTACTATCAACTCTAACCCATCACCAGGAAAACCCTTATTTTTCTCTACACACCAGTAATCCATGCTCTCTACCTGCTGCCCTTTGCATACACTGCAAAACATATAGGCACTTGCTCCAGCATCTCTGATGCCCTGGCCTATAGGTGTGATGGCTTTAGAGGCACCACTCTTCTGGGTGTGGAATGTGTTACACAGCTACTTCAGAATCACTCTCAGCACAAAATTAAAGATGCACATACAAGCGTCTTTCTACCTACACCTCTTTTTTCATTGTACAGTTGAACAGTTTGCAGATTTTCCTTGCAAATGGTTCCCTTCTTTAGAGACACAGACATTAAAAATTAGAAAGTGTCTTATCAGGCTGGAGAATGATACCCTCTATAAACTGCCTCCCATATAAAATCCAGACAGTGGTCATAAGTCATATTTTCTTCCACCTTATCCTGGATATCTGTTGACCATTTCCTCTTTGTTAAAATAAGCAATGTTTGACTCCCTTGGAGTGGAAAAACATCTGTTTGCTAGACCAGGTATCATGTCCTATGCTTGACTGCCTATACCTAACAGCATGTATTGGGTTATGTGGTGAGACTTTGACAGCAGGGGGACTGCAGGGAAGGCTTTCTGTAAGAAACTCCTAGAAATGTCTCCTATATGAATAGAGTCAAGGCTGGCCAACTCCAAGATGGGCGCATTGCTGGCCAAGGTGGAGCCCATCGGTGATGGTGATAGTGCCACTGGGACAACAATTTTAAAAGTTGCTGTGCAATTTTAGCCAGAGAGGGGACAGAGAATATGTGAGAGCAACAGCCCTGCAGACATCAAGGTCAGTGGGAAAGGAGGGAGAGGAGGTGCTCCAGATCCAGAGCAGAGATTCTCTTGCAGCCTGTGGTGCAGCCCATGGTGAGGCAGCTTCACCCTTGTAGCCCATGGAGGACCCCATGCTGGAGCAGGAGGATGCCTGAAGGAGGCTGTGATGCTGTGGAGACACTGTTGGCTCCTGGCAGGAGTGTCAACGTGTGATGAACTGACCACAATCTCTACTCCCCATCCATCTGCACTGCTAGTAGGGTAGAGGTAGAAAAAACTGTAAGTGTAGCTGAGCCTGGGATGCAAGGATGAGTGGCAGCAAGGTTTTTGGAGATTTGGGTTTACTTCTTATTACTCTACTATAATTTGACTGCCAATAAAGTAAATTCATTTCCCCAGTCTGGCTCTGCTTTGATCCAGATAGTAATTGCTGAGATTTCTCCCTTTTCTTATCTTGACCCAAAGACTTTCATCATATTTTCTCCTCCCCAGCCAGCTGAGGAGGGGAGTGACAGAGCCATTTTGGTGGGCACCTGGTGTCCAGGTAGGGTCAACCCACTATATCATCCCTTCTATCAGCAAGTGGTAAAATTCTTCCTTTCTCCCTGTTGACTCACTAGATGTTTCAGTTTAAAGCATTTTTCAATTGAACTTTATGGTCCATGTTGCATATTTCTAGGTTTTTATCATAAAACATAACTATGTATGTAGTTCATTACTAGCTCAATAGGGCAACCATTATAATAATGTCACCACTTTGGACTCACAGTGGGCTTGGTATGATCTTTCCCTTCTTCTGTGTTCAAAGCACCCTGTAAACTTACTAGACTAAGATGAGAAGGCATTTTTCAGGAGGCTGATTTTACATTTCAGTTCCTTTACCAAACGGATATGCTCTTGCTCAACTTAATGCACTTTGAAAAGGAGTTAAGCCAAAAATGAGAGTCATGCTAATTATGCAATGAGGATACCCACATATGGAGTCACTCAGAAATAGCCATTCTTGAATAACATTGTATAACCAAGCATGGAGCATATTTTTAAGTTTTTCTTTACAATCATGGTAAATAGAGCTTTAGGAATTTAGGGTTTTTTTATTTTGTGTTCCTTTCCAATTTTTTTTTTAATTGGGTTAGAGTGGCCTACTTTTTGGTAGTGTCAGGGGGCGGGGGGTGCAAGGGCATGATTGTGGAGTGTGTAAGAAGCTGCTGGAATCTTCCACTGAATCTGGAAGAGCCAATCCCTGGTGGTTACAAAGATGGACAAGCAGCTGGCCAAAACTGGGCCAATCAGAAATGGTGATAATGTCTCTCTGATAACATATTTAAGAAGAAATCAAAACAAAGGTTGTGGTGCAGCTGTTATTTTCCAGCCAGAGAAGTATAGAGTGAGAATATGTGAGAAGAACAACTCTGCAAACACCAGGGTCAGTGAAGAGGTGGGGAGAGGAGGTACTCCAGGTGCCTGAGCTGAGATTTCTCTCCAGCCCATGGTGAAGACCATGGTGAAGCAAAAAAAAATCAAAAAGAAACAAACCAGTGGAACTTGTGGCTCAAAATTTGCTTCAGCTAAATTGCTGAAAAAGCACAAGAGTACTTGTATCTCCAAGTTCTGCCCAAAATTTCAGTAAAAGACACCCTTTACCATGCAAATAGGAACTCAGAAAAAAAATTCCACATTCCTAATAAGAGAAAAAGTGATAAAATTTTAATTATATCAGGATGTATTAATTCAGTATGCAATGGGAAAAATATTCTGGTCTCTTATGTTAGCTTGGTGACTCAGGCACCATGGCAGGATTTCCTTCCCTCTAAAAATTCTTTAATTGGAGTGGATGATGAGGCATCTGTTGCCACTCCTTTGGACTCAGTACAGCTGTCTACGGAAACACAGAACTGTTTTCGTAAATGGACAATGGAAAATCTTTTTCATAGAGTACAAAAGGCCAGCAAGCAAAGGAGACAAATCCATTCCTGAGGTCCCTGAAGAATATCAGTGGCATCATGGCAGAGATTATTATAGCCTATATGCTGGATGCCCTGCAACAAACGGAAAGCACTGGAATAAGCTCACAAACCTGATCCACAGAAACAGCTAACTGGTGGGACATCTGGCTGTGGGTTAATGTTCCCCTTCTTCTAGGAAAATGTTGCTAACTTTTTTCTTAGGAAGACAATTTTTGACTATTTTGCCTTACTTCTTTCCCTGGCCCTTCAGAAAATTTGGGTGCATGTCTAAGGAGCAGGATTATATTGTTGCAGTGATATTACAATATAGTAATTGTTTCTGGCAAAAATGGGAAAGATTTTTAAAGAAAGATAACTTCAATTTCATATCTTTTGTCCCTCTGTATGTCCACAGAGTAGCATAGGGGAGAGAGCAGGACAGGCATCTTTGAAAGCACTAAGGAGCACAGAAACAATTTGACCATATGTGTAGTGTCTGCTCATTAGGAATTTTTATTAAAGATATGAAGTCTTTTAACTTCCACACATTCATAGTCCAGTGATGAGCTAACTGAAACTCAGGAGGAAAAGCTCCCCATGTAAGTGCAAGTGCACGCACACACCCCCACCCCCATGTACAAGCACAGGAGAGGGGAATAATTCCAAGGGAGGAGGAGACACACTCACTCTAAGAGCTGCGTTCCATTACCTGCAACATACTGCTGTGCTGACCTTGCCAGGAACTGCTGCAGCAGCCAATTTACCAGCTCAGGAATCACTGAAGTGTTATTTTGCCAAGGACTCTGAAGCATTTTAAGGAGAGGTAAAATGCTTCTGTCCTCTTGTGTTCAGAAGAGCCAAGAATTCACACACACACGCATTATGAGGCCACCCAACAGAGACTATGAAATCATCTCCCTGAGATGATCAAAGGTGTCTGTGTTAAAGACACCTTGTATTTTTGTGTACTAAAATATGTAAATGTATGCATTCTAGTTAAATTTTGCATTGAAACTGGCAATAAAAAGGGAGGTGGGAGTGTTGTAAGACCGACACATTTACCGACTGATTTGCTCCACATTATCTTTTTTTTGAACATAACAGTGCTGTTTGGAAACTGTATTAAAATTATTGCAGTAAGAATCTACTCTCAAATATTTATAATCACAAAGTGCAGGAGAAATATACATAATATTCAGGATCCTGAAGTCATAATCCTAAGGGTAAATATTTTTGAAATTTCCTATGAAAGCCTAATTTTAGCCAACTTTTCAATAAAAAGAAACAAACCGAGAGCATAGAACACAAAAAACCAGATCCACGCATAGTTTTCCATCACTGCTATTGTAAGTACCCTGAGGGATTAGACTGCATGGGATTTCAAGCAGGAGAGGATTTCTACAATATTATTCTCTACAGCCCCCATTAGGAATTAATGATGCTTCAAGTAGGATTAAGTCTTACAAATGCTGTCCTACTGCTGCTACTACACAACTATGGCAACATGATGGCTTCTGCCCAGGCTGTGCTCTTAGCGGAAGAGATCTGCAGTAGAAACAGAGAGGCATCAATTCTTCAGGGACATCTTACTGATCTGCACATCACTCAACTCCATTAACCATGTAACTGGGATTCCCAGACTTTAACATTCCCACAGAGTGCTCCATCATCCCTAAAGCTCTGAGAGGACAGCAAATGTCAGCTGAACCTCATGAAAACTCCTGCTTTGTTTCCTTTCCTGTGGGATGTTGTTTCTGGGGTACAATGATAAATGCATTTGCATACACCTTTAATTGAGCCTATATTCATCCTGTCAGCAAAATATTTGGCTTATCAGAATAAATGAGTGGGAAAATACTGCTGAATTAATGGAAGCACTCAACCTTTTCTAATTATACACTGCATTAAACTTTTATGAGAGAAACCATATAAAGATGCTTTGCCATGAGTGTATTCTCAGAGTAGTAGTAAACTAATTTAGTTTGGTCAGTTGAACTGATCAGGCAAGCAAAAGTTTAACTCAACAAAGTAAAAAAAATTCATGCAAGTGTGGAATCCCTCATTAATCTCTGAACAGAACAGAAACAAAGCTGAAAACTCATTGACTGCTTCAAAAGGTAGTAAAGAAATAGTTCTGCATCACAAAAAAAATCCGAAATCTAAAGCAAAAGGTTGATTTAAGGCACTATCTCCAAACTTACATGTTTGTCTTTTATTAATTTTATTTATCTGCCTTTGATACATCAGCTGATGCTGGATTTTATTTATATTATGTTATTTATTTCTTCAACTCCAACTCAGATGCATGTCCCTGCTGTGCAGTATGAACATGCACATAATAAAATATCATCTTTGTTTCAGAGAGCAATTAACTTAACAGCTAAACAGACAAGACAAGAAAATTGGCAGGGAAAAGGAAAACTCAGAACACCCATTTCACATTGTGCAGTTGAGGCACAAGATTATGATCTTACACTGGTAAATGGCAGCAATGTTTCATTACTGTCATACGTAGGGATAGGATTACATTTTACATATACCCAGGGAGACATGGAATGCACATGGCAGAAGGGAGAACTGACCCCCAGTCTGCTGCATGCAGTGCAGAGGTGCTGATATTCTTTCTTTGACTGCTTATCAACACAAAATACTTTTCATAGAATCATGGACTCACAGAATGGTTTTTGTTGAAAGGGTCCTTAAAGATCCTCTAGCTCTAATCTACCTGCTATAACTAGGGACACCTTTCACTTGACCAGGTTGCTCAAAGCCCCATCCAGCCTGGCCTTTAACATTGCAGGGATGGGACAGACACAATTTCTTTGGACAACCAGTTCAGAGAGAAGTGCCTCACCTCTCTTACAGTAATGAATTTCTTCCTAACATTAAACATACCCTCTGTCAGTTTAAAGACATTTTCCCTCGTCTTATCACTGTATACCCTCTCCAGCTCTACTGTAAGTCCCCTTTAGATACTGCAAGTCTGCCTCTCTTCTCCAGGCTGAACAACTGTGGATCTCTCAGCCTGTCTTCACAGGAGAGGTGCTCCAGCTCTCTAATTATCTTCAAGGACTTTTTCTGGACCTACTCCAAAGGGTTCACATTCTTCTTATGCTGGGGACCTTTGGACTTAACACTCCAGGTGCAGTCTCAAGAGAGTAGAGCAGAGGGGAAGAATCCCCTCCCTCACCCTGCTGGCTGCACTGCTTTGGATGCAGCCCAGGATACAATTGGATTTTTGGGCTGTAAGTGCACATCTGCTGGCTTATATCCAGCCTCTCATCTACCAACACCCCCAAGTCTCCTCAGGGCTGCTCTAAATCCATTCTGCATCCAGCCTGTACTTGTGCTTGGGATTGCCCCACCCCAAGTGCAGGACATTGCATTTGGCCTTGTTGAATTTCCTGAGGTTTGCATGGATCCATTTCTCAAGCCTGTCCAAAGTTCCTCTGGATAGCATCCCTTTCCTCCAGCATACCAACTGCAGCACACAGCTTGGTGGCATCAGCAAACTTGCTGAGGGTGTGCTCAATCTCACAGTCCATGTCACCAAGGATGTTAAACAGTGCCAGTCCCAATACTGAACCCTGAGGGACCCTACTCAGAGTATCATTTTTCCTAACCTTATCCCTGGCAGCTCAGACAATCTTCCTGTGTTCCTCCTAGGCTGCCTGTTCTTGCTTCCATGCTCTGTAGAGTTTATTTTTGTGTTTGAATTTGTCCAGGAGCTCCCTGTTCATGAACACAGAACTCCTGGTGTTCTTGCCTGATTTCATCAATTTTGGGATGCATCGCTTTGTATGAATCTGGGATGCATATACACTCGCACAGAATAAGCACATTCATTACATATACGCTCTATACCCAGTATAGAAGAAAACACTATGACAGTGTATATGTCATTTATACACTACAATATACGTTACACTTACCTCAAAAAATTAGCCCAACAGCCTCAGACCAGTTCGATGCCTGCTTGGTATTTATTAAAAAAACAGTCTGTGGCTTTGCCTAGTAATTTGTAGGTGTTAATACCTGCTGGTTACCTTTTGAGAAAGAGATAATTTCATGTTGCTGATTTGTGATAGACACTGACAGGCTGGTGGGTGGGCAGCCCCCCTCCAGGTCTGTGATTTCAGCTTTTGAGAAATAGGAGGTGTGTGCACTAGAAGAGAACGTGGGCTAAGCTGACCTGACCTCCATTGTCAAATCTGTCACACAGGAAAGTGGCTTTGGAGTCAAGGGGTTTCCTGCTTTACCAGCATAAGTTGTCATGCTGGGGAGATCCTTTCAAAGGTTTCCATGATTGGCAGCTATTGGAGGAAGACAGCAATTGCAAGTGTCTAATAAAGACTAGACCTGGATGGAAAACAGAACTTTGCCTAACAAAATATGGTGATATTTCAAGTTGGGAAGAAGCCCTTCTTTTCAATTTCAAAATCTCAAATTTTCAAAATTCTACACAAGACAATTTTATTTGAAGAGAATAACCTCCGTATTTCTGCTCCATCATTTTTGCACTTGGCATTTTTTAATAAAATAAAGAAATTGAAATAAATATATATTTTCAAGCAAAAATACAAAAATCCAATTAAAATTTTTATTTTACATGTGTCAAAACCCTTTTTGCAAAATTAACATAGACAAAACTAGCCTTTTAAAGACTTCCAAAGTCAGTATTATCCCTGATGTCTTGCCAATCAGCTCTAATAAAAATACCTACTGTTATATAATTCTTTGAGAATCACAAATAAGAGGAAGTATATACACATAGTGAAGAATAATAATAATAATAATCATCATCATCATCATCATCATCATCTTTGTAGATAGATACAGATGTAATACTTGGGGTTTTTTGAGCTAAGCTATAAATTCATAACAGTAAAACTGACCTCTCTTGTGGGATGTGATTGACAGAATAAAATGGTTGCACAAAATACTATGTTAAGTGCTGCTACTCTGAATCAAGTATTCTTTCACAACATGTTGTATCGAGTTTTCTCTGACTTCAAATTAATTTTTCTGTGGAAAATACTCATTTGTTGATAGCTTCACTGTATGTACTGCAGCAATAATTTTAAGGGACATATAGTGAAGCTTTAAATCATATTTTGGAAGAACATATTCAGGCTTACATTCTTAGAAATCCCAGATCAACATCTGATATATTTCTGAAGAGATACACACATTTTCAAAGGGAAATGTAGCAGTCAGTGCAGAAACTATGTAAAGAAGATTCTCAGCTGTAGCATGTAGAACCTCTTGATGATCATGTTGTCTTTTTCTTTATTAATATTCTATCTTTTACTCATATATCATGATGGAAATTGCTTCAAATGAAAACAGCTGCTTCCTTTGTGGTATTAGGCACAGTCTGAATTTTGTTTTGCAACAGCATGTGTCATTCTGCTGAGGGCAAGCAATGATTAGCAATTCTTTGCTGCAAACTTTATCAACTAACTTTAGCAGCTTCTCTGTGTGGTTTAAGGTGGGTGGCCATGCAAAACCTAAGAAAACAAGCTGTTTTTCTGTTCTGTGCCCTGTAGAAATGTCTGATTTGCCCATGTTTTCAAGCTCTATAGCATATAGTGCTTCATGCTTCAGATTCAGTGGCTGTAATTTCAGATATATGCTAACCTTGATCAGGAAGGAAGGCAACACTTTACCAGATGATAAAGTGTAAATTTCTACATCATGACCAATTCAATTTTCCAATGCTACCTGAACACACAGGCACCCAGCTTGAATGCCATAGCTCTAGCAGAGTGGAATACAGAGCACTGAATTAGAATTTAAAAAACTGAGCTTTGTAACTGGTCTGGTGAACAGACTAAAATCCTTCACTTTTGGAGATATCATCCATAAAACAGGAGAAAGATTATCTGTCCAGGAAAAGTGTCATGGAAAGCTAGTTACAACATACTACTAACATGATATTGCAATTCTTTTATGAACTGGAGTTAGGTCCAAGCAATGAAGTCTGGATCCTAACGTTCCATTTGCAAGTCAAATTTTGCCTGCAAAATGTCATGTCTGAAAATATCCCCAGCAAGGCTTTATCTGTGAAAGGTAACACACCATTCCTTTCCTTCCAAGGCTTGTAACATTTTCTCTTAGGATTAAAACAATAGCTATTGCTTTAGGGGTTTTTTTTGTTGAATTTGTTCATTAGAAATCACTCATGAATTCACATCAAGGGTAGGGTACGCCACCCCAAAGGAAAAAATTCTGAGCAGTTATGAGTTCCTAAACTAGAAGAACAGAAAAAAGAAGACCCTGGTTTGTTTTATTCCTTTGCTAGTTGAATATCCATAGCAAAACATAGAAGGTGCATAGTGATCAATGTGGTGTGACATGTATATAATTCAGTGCTTTTATCTACTAGATTTTCCCCTATGAAGAAAATGAGGCACTCATTTTCCAGGGACAAACAAGTGTCATCTTGTCACACAGCACCTCAGATATTAAAATATGTTCTGCCTGCATCAAGACAGCAAAAGTTTATCCCAATTTCACACGATGATATAATTAGAATAGGGCAAAGTTTGTAAAAAGATCAATCCATCAAATTAAAGAGTTTTCATTAAATCCTGATGTTGCAATACCATTAACAGTGGACATCTCTGGCTTAATCATAGGTAAAAATGTGATTTTCCTCTATATCAAAGTTTATAGTTTTAATTGAGTCAGTAAAATCTACTTTCATATACATAAAATAATTATATAAATAAGTGTTATTTAAGGACTACTTGCACACTTCTGACATTTCTGTGACTTCAGTCCAGCCTTTAAGAACTTGCCAATCCCAGGAATCAGAGTTTACAAGAGAACAAAATGTACTTTATAGAGAAATTAGTGGTAAAAGCAGATGAACTTGTTCTGAAGAAGGTTTCAGTATGTGCCCTTTGAAAAATACATGCCCCATCATTTACAGCTACAGTGAGTCAGAGGAGAACTGGGCAAGGCCAATTCCTCAGAGAAAATAATGACTCACCAAAATCTGTTTAGACTGAGCACCCTGGTCCTGACCTCCTCATAATAAAAAACAACACTGTGGAAGATATGGAGGTTTTCAGATGAAGAAACACTTGCTCTTTTGGGACCACTTTTTCCTAGCCTATCATCTGCCTTAATTGATAACTTCATCTTCATATATAGAGCTATAAGATGAGGAAATCTGATTTCACTGAAAAAGCAGGCACTTTTAGGGGAGGATAGGAATGATTCAAATGCAAGTAAATAAAATACAGATAAAATGAAGGATAAAGTTCCTCTAAAAATTTTAATGATTACTTGATTGTCTTAGATATGGTCTAACTTAGAGTTCATATGTGGCCACTTCTGTAATTATCAATCTTTTACTCTGTATGTGATCCTTTTTTCTCCAAAAGGCTAGAAGCCCCCTCACTGTGTTGCATTCAGAGATGGGCAAGGTCTTATGTTCCCATCCCCAACTCAACACACTCATGGCAAAGAGCCCTTCAAAAGCCGGAATTATCAAAGCTCTCAAGCATAAGCAAGGAGTACTTGGGGACTTAGCAGTATCACAGAGTAGGACTGACAGTGAAATAAAATTAAGAGATCATTGTGATACCCTACTCTATGGAGCAACGTACACTAATCTCTGTAAAATGAATACCCAGAAAACTCTGCCCTAGAAAGAGCTCTGGCATTGTTGGGTGGGGAGCTTGATGGAGGGACTGATGCCTGGGTGGGCCTTTGGCTAAATATTGGATTGCACAGAGCTGAGCTGTCTCTGACATGGCATAGCTTTCTGAGTCAGCACAAGGGCTGCCTATAAGAGCAGAAAGAAAAGGTTCACTCTTTCCCAGGACATCCCACAGGGCAAACATGACCATCCTCAACATAAGTGGATTTAACCAGTCACTAGGAGCAAAAAATGATCCAAGAACTTTATTTCACACTTTTTATCAGCTGTCTTATTCTCTGTCTATAATGAACCAGCAGTTGCATGTAATTAGTTTTATTATAAATAGTACATGCTGAAAGAGTATCTCACAATTGCATATGAATCTTTCTTCATACTCTTTTTTTTTTTTTTTAATACTTTACTCTTGGTGAAATCCCATTCACTCCAAATATTCCCCCAAATATTTCTCTCTTGGGACTTTACCTGTGGGACTATACTTCTTGATAGGAATTATTTGACAGTAACCAGAGTGAAATTAACTGTTTCATTGTATATGAGGCAATAAAAGCAAAGTTTCCCCTCAATTTAGTGGTAGAATATTAGTGAGAGGCTTCCATAAGCTCCTGAAATCGTGTTCTACAACGAAATTCAATTTATTATGATATGATCCTGGTCATCTTGAGAAATGTTGCACATTTCAAGCGGCTAGTCAGCCCCAGCTAAAACCTAAAACCCCAAACTGTCCTGTCAATGCACTTGCGTTTTATATGTACAAAATACATTTATATTGGGTGGTCTGAGGGGCTTTTTTCCCTGAAGCAGTCAAAATTATTTATATGTTGCTTTCAGAGATGACAGGCAGTTTATTTCATTATCAGCATTAACCATACTTCTTGTATTTCCTGTCATTTAACAGCATCCTAATTGATTACAAAAGAAGAAAAGACAACACTGAGTATGTCTGCAGGAGACTGTGAAACTAATGACAGATATCTGCTGAATTTCAATACTTCTCTAAGGAGGTTCACACAGACAGTGCCTGAGGAGTGCAGAGGTCTGAAATGAAGTATTTCTCAGCTTTTTGCCAAGTTAATCTCCTTGTTCAGAGATCACTTTGTTCAGAGATCACCTGTGATACTTTTTAAAGGCACAATTAAAACTTTTGTTACATCTCAGTAAATATTTGAGTAGAAACAGAGCCAACTACAAAACTACAAATCCAATTAAAATATTCTTTTCTTTAAAAAAATTATCCCCCAGACATAAACGTGACCTTAACATCCATGTGTATGTATCAGAATTAAAATGTGCTTTGATGTGCTTTGATGCAGGATATGAATATCAATTGTATCTCTAGAAATCCATGTGATTCTTGATCCACATTTTCCCTGTCCTCTGTATGATAAATAGTGGGTATAAATCTATGAAACTAACTATACCAAAATCATCTACTGTCTTGGAAGCTAAGAAGGAAAAGAAAACACATCAGCCTGTTTATTCAAGTTTTCTCTAGAGAAACCAACAAGGAAGTTCTGCCACCTTGGAAAAGCTATTCTTCCTTACTGCTACATGTAAATATGATTTGATAAAAACTGTTCTGAAATGGAAATCTCAAAAATTAAAAAAATAATATCAAGTGCTTATGTCTGATAGATATAACAGCTCTGTGTCGAGAGGTGGAGGTGAGAAGTCTAGGAGAGCCAAGTATGTTGTTCTGTGACAGAACAAAAGGGAATGGTCTCAAGTTGTGCCAGGGTAGGTTTAGATTGGCTATTAGAAACAATTTCCTCACTGAAAGGGCTGTCAAGCACTAGAACAGGCTGGCCAAGGCAGTAGTAGAATCACTTTCCATAGAAGCAATGAGAAACCATCTAGTTGTGGCATTTAGGGACGTGGTTCAGTGGTGAAGGCGACTGTGTTAAGTTAATAGTTGGACTGGATGATTTTAGAGGTCTTTTCCATCTTTAACAATTCTATGATTCTATATATTATATTGAAGCTGGGTATTGTTAAGCTTTAAAATAAAACATGAAAAAAATCATATATGGAAAGGCAAAAAGGGAAAAACGCTTTGTTCCCTTCATGAAAAAAAGAGGTTCATAGAATAAACTTGAACCTTTTAATTATAAAACTGTTTTATTTAAAAAAAACAATATTTTTTGACATTCACGCACAGTCTGCTCTAAAAAAAGGTGTTTCAATTTGTGAGCTCAGCATTTTTACCACCCTCAGAAGAACATGAAGAGTTGATTCTACACCTGTTTATGAAGCTGAGTGTTGTGAGACACATAACGTGACACATAAGGTGTCTTGTTGCTGTTAGACTTAATACCAGTGACTCACATCAGGAAGCTTAGCAAGGAACTCAGCTCTTCAAACAGCCAAAGGCTTAAAGGCCAAGTTACAGTCATCATTTCCATGTATGCAGAACAAGAAGAGCTTCAACCAGAGAAAGAATTTTTGTACCACTTCAAGATTCTCTTGAAACAGCCTGGGAAAAGTTCCAGGGAAACCAATGAAATTACACAAGGGGTTCATCTGTTTGACAAGCATCATCTCTGCAATGTTTACCACAGCAAACAGAAAGACACCCTTAACAAAAGTAAAAATACATTTCCAAACAGAATTGTAGAAAAGGAAAATATTACCAGTCCATCAAAAAAAAGATCATGCAATCTCAAACTTAGCAGATTTTTGATAGTTTTTTAAATGCCCTTCTGCTGTCAGGGCATTTACATTCACAAGCTTTCAAGCTTTTATTCACAGAGGAAGCTTCTTTCTTCAGAATTCCTCTGGCCAGGAGCTTTCTTTAATTAAAAACAAACACTCCCAGGCTGTATATAAACCAAGTGGATTTTACAGACTGAAACCTCAGCAGTGACCCTGGGGGTGCCTGCCTAATCCACACAGCTGGGTTCACTTCCACTGGAAACTAACACGGAGAGGAGAGTGTGTGGTAAGGTCTCATCCCAGCATGGAGCTAGGGTTCCTGCATAGGACCCAGAATTAGGAAGTGCTGCTCTCAATAATTAATAGAACAACTATTGCATGTGGTAACAAATCAGTTCAAATCTCAGTCTTCAAGGTGACAATTTAAGGAAAACATGCCAAATTAGGTAAGATGATGATTTAACATACAAATTGGCAGTTCTCAAAATTACTGTTTTTTCACAACATGTCTATGGACTGTGCTATATATCTGCAATGTCGCTGTCTGGGAAAGTGATAGCCTTCCATCAAATTTGGCAAGTAATTCCAAATCTACCACCAATTATAAACATCAGGATTAGAATAATTTACTCAACAGTACTAACAAAACTGAAAACCAAGGGTGAAAAAAAAGAGGAACTAATCATCAGGCTGTATTAATTAATTTCCACATTCTTTCCTATACTTAGACAAAATTCCAGTCAGCTCCAGTGAAGAATATAAGACTATCCTGTAAATCTTAGGAGATACACTAAAGCTGTGTGAAGAACTTACAGTTCATTGTCAAAACTTTCACTGAAATGATTTTTCCAAGTGTCAGATACTGTACTACTGCAGTGAAAAACAAGCTGTTTAAAAACAAAACAAAGCAGCTCTGTTCTTCCTTTGGGTGCATTGTATGCTGCTCTTCTTCATTCGGTAACCCATATCTGTTATTGCTAAGCTTTCTGCATCATTAAGAGAGTTGTTTATGAAAATGGTATTGTACATTTTCCTGTTTTGGTAGAGAATGAGAGTTATTTGAAAGACATGGAAATTTTATTCAATCACAATTTCAGCTTTTGGTAACTGAAGCATTGCTTCTATGTATCCATCTTCTACAACACCTCAATAAAATGTCCAATTAAAATGTTACAGCTCATGCTCTCTCTATCTATCAAGCAGCCTTCACAATTATATTTGCCAATACTGGCCTCCTGAATCATCAACACTGTAAAATCACACTTTCTCATACAGGCTGTTATTCAGCCCTGATAATTCTTTTTTTGTTTTAAAGTTACATCAAAATTTAATGAAAATGTGGAAACTTTTTTGATAAAATTGAAAACTGCCTATTTTTTATTGCTCATCTTGTTATATTCTAAAACTGCAGCTTATTATCCTGAGGGTATGGAAGAGGTATGAAGTATTACTAAAATTAAGCAAACGGCTGTCATAATTCACTGTTACTGATCAGAATATTTGCAAATATTCAAATATCAAAAAAGAACATCAAAAAAATCCTTTTCTGAATTCAACACAACTGCAGTGATAAAAATATGAGATAAATAAAAAACAAGCATAACAAAAGGAAAATAAAGAGAAAAAATAAATTATTTTCTTCATTGTTTGCAAACATTTTTCCTAACATTGCTCATTTCCTACACTTTCTTTATGTGCAACTACCTCAGTGTAGCTCCATGTGTGGAGCTCTGATCTAGTCTGGATCAGCAGCAGCAACACATGTCATATGGATATGGCTGAACACCACAGTATTTGCTTTTATCATACTGAGTAAAAGCAACTTGATCACCTCTACCCTTTACCTTTGATTTCTTCTCTCATCTTACTCTACAGAAAAAAACTGTATCAATTGAATAATTTTCATATAGTTCTTTATAACCATATATGCTTCCAAGTATTAGAGATAGGAAAGGTAAGTATAGGAATTGCTTATATATAAATGCAGGGCAAGGAGGTTTGCGTCAGTCTAATTTCTGTGGCCATTCAGTGCCATGTTTGACAGGCCTAAAACACTTCTGATATCTGAACGTATGAGTTTTACCTATAGAGAGCTATATTGTGTTAGGAAAAGAAAGTTAGTGATGATGACCTTTATTTAAGGGTTTTAGTTGGCTGTTTAGATATAACAGAGAAAATGTTGACTACTGGGGCCAAAGAAGTGATATAATTCAAAATCCAGTGGGAATTTTACCAGAGAAAAAAGAATCTTGAGTGTGGCACTGATGATCTGTGAGGCAGAATACATTTCTAATGTATTGTAATGTGGTGCTTAAGTGTGGCACATGTCCCAGATAGACAGCATTTGTAACACTACTGAGAAAGTATAAAGGTGAAAATAGCTGTTGCCACATTAAGATAATGTCTTTTAGCTACTCACTGACAATATGGGCTTGCAGATGGGGATAACCTCCTCCTTTCTTGAAGGATCACAAGAACTTCTGTACAAAAAATATAATCCAATTATCTTCCTACACTGAGTCTCTTAGGCTGTGCAGTATGTTAGTCTAACACCTTTGCCTCTATTCCAAACAGAGGTATAGAGGCATTTATATAAACCAAATCACTTAAGTTATTCATAGGTCTCATTAATGTAAATAAGAATAAAATTCCACTTTACAGTCAACATGGGTGAACACTCATCTGAATAGAGTGCTATGCTATGTATAACAGTCTCTCTAGTTACTACAGTTCAGACACAAATTGTAGTAATTCTTTCCCCACCGCCCACCAAAAAGACACATAAAGGGAACACATTTTGACCCTCCTGTCAACAAAACAGCCATAGATGCATACTGAAGTAGGAACAATGTGCTTCACTTTTCTGGTGGTGTGCCAGTAACACATCAGCTGTGGTATGGAACAAATTCTACAAAGCCTGAACATTAGCACTGGGAAAAAAAAAAAAAAAAAGAAAAAAAAAAAACAACTTGATATTTAGGAAGACAACAATGTGACTGAAATGTTTCATACCAAGCATTAAGCACCCAGCCCAAGTTCCTCTGAAGTCAATAGTAAAATTCTCATAACTAAACATTATGAAATGGGGTACAATGAGGTACAGTCTTTTAAGACACATTCCCCTTTCTGACTTGGGCTCTCAGTGAAAGAGAATAAAATACTATATGAAAATGAAAAAATCCTGTATGAAATCAGTTTTGACAACATTAAACTGTATCTGTATACATCAAATAGCTGATATTGTTTTCATCAAATTTTGTCAATCTCTATGCTTGTTAGGATTGATATGTAAATACTTGCTTAAACATCATTACTTTAGCACAATGCTTCTATAAAAATGCTTTGGTAGCCAAAAAATATCTACTCTAAACAGGTTATCTTTACTGCTTTTTTTCATTTCTACTTTTCTTTAATGCAAAACTGGAAGTTCTTCAGGACTCCATGCTGCTCATATTCTCCATGCCTCTCATATTCTCATCATTTATTGAAAATCTGCCTGAAGGATGAATTCAAAAGCATGGCAGTAGCACTATTTAATTTCTAGCCCCTTTACTCTGCTCATAGACTTTCAGCAGTAGCACAGTCTAAACCATTTATAGTGAATGGAGAATCCTAGCTCTTCCAAATAAAACATGTGGCTGAAAGCAAGTAGTATAAATGGTTTAAAACCCACTGGGAGGGTGTGACTAATGAGTGGGTGTACTACTGCCTGTTGCTGGATAGAAATAAAACAGTTTTCTTTATATCTCTGGGCCAGAAACTGCTGGTTAGACTCATCACTTAATCTGATTTATCTGTGTAAACATTTCAGGGAATCTTTCTATCTATCTATCTATCTATCTATCTATCTATCTATCTATCTATCTAGTTTAGGGATATTTTTTCCCCAAGTTATTCTATTTCTGTACCAAATAATACACAACACTACACTTGTGTTTTGCCTGGAAAGGAGCCCCAAAGGTTCTAAAGTCAGGGAATAGCTGATCAGAAGTGTTGATATTAGTGTACAGACACAGGCCCTGAGCACTATCCTCCTACAGAAAACTTCACTTAGCTGGGACTGTAGTGAATTATTTACATCCTGCTTTCTATTTTACAATTCAGCTAATCCTGGGGATAAATAAAATTCTGCCCACTCAATCAAAGTCCTCTGAATCCTGTCTTTTTTTCCTTTTTCCTATTATTTGGACTGCTCATAAGTTATCACAGAATAACAGAATACTTGGAGTTGGAAGGGACCCAGAAGGATCATCAAATCCAACTCTTAAGGGCCCATAGAGGGATCAAACACACAACCCAGACATTTATCTGCACAATGCTCTAACGAGCTGAACTAATCTCAGTGGCATATGAAAGCTTCCATACAACCTCTATAAATTCCCCTCTATCCATATTCTGTGTGTTCTCCTCTAAAGCAACACCCAATTTGAAATTTCCAGGCAACTTGGATGATTTTCTCTTCTTTTGTATTCTACTGACCTTCCATGCATATTTTATTCAGCTAAGCATCATTTCATAGATTCAAGGTCTCAACTGCACCCAACAATCTTCTGACTTTCTAGTTACTGGGTTTTTTTCCATTTCCATTAAATGTGTGACACTGTTTGTATATTTCTTCTACTGCCTTTTTCTTTTGCAGTGCTTTACATCAATCAGTCAATCCAACTTACAATTTCTGATGGAATTCACTTAAGCTCTTATAGCTATGGCACAATCTTGTGAGGCATGTAAGACATTAGGTCTTTGCTTGTTTTTGAAATCACAGGTAAGAATGGGCTGCCTGGATAGCAAATGTCACTAACCTAAACTGCATAAATATATCTGCATTCAAACATCATTTCACATTCTGTCAGAAATATGAGAAATATGAAGAATGACTTCACTTAGGAGTCCAAGGTTGTATTCAAAATTTGCTCAGCTCACCTCTTTTGAATACCTGATATGAGCAATGACACATAAACCAAAAGCAGGCTTGGAATCTACCAACTCTAGTAAACCTAAATAAATATTCTAGTTTTGCCTTAAAGAATGCCTTTCAGGCACTCTGTCTCCAAGGTTTTAATATTCTGATTCAGCACATTGTGGGGTTTTAGTTCATATTCACCCTTTCTCTGAAGAACACCTGCATTGTCTAGCAAATTGCTGCAAGCAGATTATTACAAATGTTAATTTACAAAACGTTTAAAATAACAAGGCTCTCCAAATAGCCTTAAGACTTTTTAGGTGATAAGAGACAATGGAAGGCATTTGTAGAATAGCCAGAATTTCAGCAGCAATAGATGAAATATTAAAAATTAAATAAGTTATTAAGAAACATCTGTTCTGTTTCCTGATATCCCATTATCATCTTCCCATCACCTTTTTCTTATGTACTTCTGCTTCTTTCATTGGCAACCAGTACTTGCTCTTTAAAACACACGAATGTGTGCAGGCAAAGTGGAGGTGTCCCACTGTAGGTAAGGGAAAGGTTTGACTGAACAGCCCTTATAGTAACTGATTATGTGACTGCTACTGATTGTTTAACCATGATGAGTGATTCTATAGGCAATTAGGAGAAATTTCTGGATTGGTAGCTCTGGCCCTAATGAGAGATTTTAACTTCCCAGAAATCAGTTGGGAAAAGCACACTGCTGTGATGAGCAGGTCTTGGAAATTCTTGAAGTTTGAAGGAGATAACTCCTTACCACAGGTACTCAGTGACAACTAGGAAAGATCCCTCTTTGACTTGCCTTCAGGAATACAGAAGGAGGATGTGATTGTAGGTGGCTGTTTTGCCCACAGAGAACAGGAAAGGGTTGAATTCATACACAGCAATGGCTACACAGTGGAAAGAGAAGGAATCATAATTTCTGGAACAGAATAAAATTTTTCTCCAAAAATATATTTTGCCTTACATAAATAATTAATTTTTCTTGCCAAGAGTGTTGTAGGTTAACAAAAGTGGAAATTAAATGCACAAAAACAAATCACTCAAACTCAACCTATATCACTCAGATATACAGAGCATGGATATATATTGCAATGCTTAATGGCAGAGTTTGAAAAAGAAAATTAATTACAGGCTACAGTTATTTATATAGGATAAAAAGTTACTCAGATTCTCTAGGTTTTTTTACCAATAAAAGCTCTGGTTGTCTTTGGAAGAAAAACTTAATATATAATATTTCTCATCTTTAATCTATATTTGGTAAAAAATATTCTATCTATAATAAAATATTCTAAAACAAAATAAATTTATAAAATAAAATAAGATATTCTAGTAGGATAGCTGAAGCATCAAGCTAATAATCTGTTATTTTGCTCAGTTAAGATACTTCTTAGATTACATATTAAAAGTTTTTGTTCCAAAATTGCACTTAGAACAATCCATTAATAATAAGAGCATTTATGGTAAATACTTTCTATGTGCCATTTAAATAATTTTTCTTGTTTTTAAGTGTATAGACAATTGAATTTTTTCTACTTTAAGAAGTGTGAAATAAACAGTTGCTTCTGTTATATTAACTTATGAGTTAAGAAAATCAGAAAGTGACAGGTAATGGTAATGTATTGCATCTCCAGCTCCTTGAGAAAGCAAGTTTTACAGAAAGATTCTATTTTTTCACTTAACAGCCAAAGACAAACCCAAATCCAATACAAAATACAACCAGGTTACAACTTGCTCCACATAATTACATAAACCCATCACTGTTATTGAATACTTTTTTGTTGTTAATATACAGTCCAAGCTATAAATTTGGGCTATTTTTTTTATTATTTTTGATTCACTAGTCTACTGAAGCGTAATAGACACTCAGAAAGAGTCTCTACCCCTCCTGAAAATATTCTTGTGATTATTGCAAAACTTTCCTTCCCATTTTGTTGGCCAAATTGAATTATTCCCAAAGTCAAATAATATTTTCCCTTCAGTTCATACTGTCAATACTTCAGGGTAATCCTGAAGATAGTTTTAATATTCCTTTAGACTATTCTGTCTAAAGCTTATTCTGAGTGGGTACATTTTAAGGCAATATCATAGATAATTGTCTTTGTGTTTTGTGATGACTGGCGGTAGAAGTATTTGACACACTAACAGATAATATTTATTGGCATTTTTAAACTGTTTTATTGGCATTTTTAAAACTATTATTTTTTCCAGATGATTAAATTCTATCCAGATCACCCAAATTAAATTTTAAGAGGCTTCCCGATATAAAATCTGCAATGGAATCCTGTCTGACAGTTTTTATGAGCTTCCTTTCAGAATTTCAAAACCACGGAAACACACCTCTGCAAACACAGACTAGGACATTGCTAGAAGCTATGAGTTTGTATTTTGTCTCTTCACGCTCCAACGTGAATCTGGCATTCATTAAATTATTCAAATGTATGATAAAAAATATCCACATGCCAGGCACTAGAAAACCACTGACCTGAAACAGAATGAAAAAAAAAAGAGGTAGTCTCAGAAAAAGGAATATGAAAGAAAAATAAAATTAGTAGTTCAAAATCAGTGAGTCATCAAGCTTAAACAGCGTATGTGAGAATGTATAAGCAGTTTATATATAATATTGCTGAATTAACCAGAGGGATTGTGCTGTATTAAAAAAAAAAAAAAATTAAGGTGGAAAAATGTTATATCATTCCAAGTTATCTGAGTCTGCATTGTCCAGAGAAGATTGTTGTAAAGTGCCAAAAGACCTCAGAGCATCATGATAGTATAACTGAGTACTTATTATGCATATTGAAGAGCATACACACTTAAGAGAAATATAAAAGCCACCTGTACAATTTAACTGTATCCAAAGAAACCTGCATATTATTACAGAAAGCCAGATAAACTGCATTTAAAAAAACTGGAGACAACACCTTTTATAAACAATAAAGTCTCATCTGGTGTATTCCATGCAGCACTCAACACCTACTCTGTAAAAATATGCATCAGAACAAAAAATGTCTGGCTATTGGCAAAGATGATGAGATGCTTTATGGATTTGTACCTTACATCAGGAAGAGGAATACTAAGTGACATCAAATATATAATGCATATAATGAGTGGAACACTGAGCTGTTGTCTCTGACTTGTGACAGAATAAGGACATATACAATCAAACAAAAATAAAGTAAATTCCCAAGTGATTAATTGTATTTTTACCCAAACAGAAATAAAAGCAAGGAACTTACTGTGAAAGGATGCTAGATACCTACCAATGGGCCAACATTAGACTGAAGACTTGCATTTTACCAAGGTGGTAGCATAAGACTGAAAAGGATATTACGTCATTAAACTGGCAACTTTACAGACTTGGCCAACCTCTAAATAGAGATCAAAAGCCTCAGTACTGGAGTTCGCCAAGCTCTTAAAACTTTCTTTGAAGGACCAGGCCCTGTTCACTCATTTGATAAAGAAGTGACATTGTGCCTAGATCTAAATTACAACTCTTGTATTCATTAGAGGAAAATCAAACTTGATTAGCTCTCTGAAATTCTTAATTCTGCCTATAAGGCACACCCATGGTTTTGCTGTTTGACCCAAGCACAGTAGGATAAAAGAAATGGAAGAGAAGGAAACAGTCACCAAGCAAAGTATATGGGAGTTTAGAAGTTTTGGTCTGAAGAAAGGACTGGTTTAGATGTAGCCTAAAGGCTACAAGATGAACTTAGCATTAAATATGCTTCACTACAATCACAGGCAGTGGTCTGGTGACAAGGTTGATCATATCTTTTGTCTCAGTATTGTAGCTGAAACAAACACAGTTTTATTCCTGCAAAGACTGAAGGATCAAGTCCTCAATAATTAAGTACAAATATGAATATGAGAGCACCTACATTAACAGAAGAGTTTTTGAAGTGTAGAAGATGTTTTTACATTGCAGGTGGCATTGGGGGATCATAAAGGAGAAGCAAGGTCAAACTGAGAAGCTGTGTGTCCTTTCCTCCTGAACTAGTCCAATCCTCCAGCAACATTGCTTAAAGAATTATCACCCTCTGTTCTTCAGATGATATGTGTTTTGGTTTGGAATGCCTTAAAGAAGCCCAGTGGAAAATACTTCAGAAGCGCTGTGACTTTAAACATTATTTTAATTCCCTGATGAAACTGATTGTAGTCATCAGTTTACAGTCACATCTATCTTGATGTGCTTGTGCACCTCCTTCCAGCTGGCTGCTTGTTTAGTTTGTTTTCCCAGTGGTTTTAGTGCTAATGAAGAGAACACTAAATTTCTATGGCCTGTGAATTAATTTAATTTCTTCCCAGGTCTTCAATCAGCCAGAGCCACCTCTCTTTTAAATGAGGAAGAGACAGTAAACCAAAGACCTTCAGTGCTCAAGTGAAAAAAAAATGAGAAAACCAAACCCGAAATAAAACCACCAAAATAATTCAACACTAACACCATCTTCCTACCAGCAGGCCAGAACTGGCAGCTTTAAGCTGGAACAGTAAGTAGCACACATACCTGAGCCTATGCTCACACAATAGAAGGGCAATCTCTTTCAGTGAGGAAACATATTTCAGCTTCAAACTCTCCAAGGATTGCTCCAATAAAATTCTTATTTTAAATATTAAAAAACTAACTCCTTGATATTATCTTTTGAAGCAGCACCTTTTCTCAATGCAGCCTGAAAAGAGCATGAAAGTTTCTACAAAAGGGTAAAAAGGGAGAGGAAGAAACAACCCTAAGAAAAAAACCCCTCAGAGTAGAAAAGTCCCTCCGAGTAGAGCCATCAAAGAAGTTGCAGCAGAAAAGGCTGGCAGAGAGAAAAAGAACTGACCCACCTACAGATGCAGAGCACTCGTACTACTGTTAAACGAAGAAAATTAAGTAGCAGCCACTGAGTCATCAAGTCCTGTGGCTTTTTAGTGGTGGTGCTACTGGTCTTTATTGGAGTAAGCCCTGAATTCCAGGGGTGCAGGCAAGGAGACCCTCTGTGAGTAGGTCTTCAAGTATCTCTTTCACACTGGACACACTTCTTTACTTAATCACCTGATGGTATCTCATTCTTTAATTTCATTTTACCATTTGCATTTCACCCTTTTGTTTTAATCACCTTTACTAAGGGCTAAGATGAGAGTTCTCGTATTCTTCACAAAAATGATCACAGTTCAAGTGGGCTGCAATCACTAATCAGTATGGGAAAAGATCAGAAGAAAGGGCGAAGCAGGGGGCAGAGTGCCTGGTGTTGGATCTATTCCAGAAGAATCCTCCTGACTCAGGTTGGTCTCAATTAGTTTGAGAACTGCTCACTGCAGCATAGAGAGGTCACAACAGAAGGCCAGGCATAGATTCACTGGATACAGTAAGTTCCCCTCTTTGGAGGCATTTTCCTTCCTTTTCACATTACATCTAGAAAATAAAGTTTTCTTGTCTCAGAAAACCTGGTAACAAAGAAGGTATACTTTTTCTTAAAGAGCATCTAACACTTGAAGTTTAGGAATTGTGCATTCCTGTGTAAAACAGGGTCAGAATATTTAGTGACAATTAGCAAAGCACCCATGAAACTACAATGACAAAGATATTTCATCCGTAATCAAAACCTAAAGTTTAACAGCAGAGTCTATTTTCTCCTTTGTCATCAGAAGATGAAGTATGATTTTTTTGCTATGTTGGTATGATGACCAGTTTTCAAATTTAATTTCTTTAAAAATGTATTCTGAATTTGTGAAATGTGTTCTTAGTTTATCAGCCACTAAATACATAGATGCTATTATCTGCTATTTCATTAAGCACATCTTTCAAGACTGAAAGGAAAAGTGAACCTGACTGCAGGGCAGTAAGATGCATTCATGTAGAAATTGCTTTGTTCATGTGTTTCATTTTCTCACCTCAGGGAGTGACATCTTTGCAAAGATGGCTGCCATCATCCCTCCCATCTGCATCCTCTTTGATGATTCCCTAGAGACATGCCTGCCAGTTACACACAGCCTTTCCAGGAGAGGAAATATACACTGGAATATGATTCCATGGTTTCACATGACTAATTTTATTGTTATCACCTTAGTATCAGACTAAGCAACCAGATATCTGGATAAGCTGATCTTATGGAGAGTACTGTGAAGATCAAACTAAGGCTCTGGGAGAAATAATGAAGAACTGATGCACTCCATTAAACTATTTTTAATTCTTTTTAAAAAATGGCTATAGAGTCATGGACAATCAGAACCCATTACAATTGAGAAACACACAAGATCTCATTCCAAAAAGTAAAATATTTTTTAAAATTATTGATTTCCACATGTGCTATAGAATTTCAGGTTTGAAGTTGAATATTTTTCTATTTTTGGATAACAAATTATTCAATTTATTTGGGATTGCTGATGTTGAAAAACTAGCTAATGGAATTCAAATAGCATCTTTCTAAAAATTTGAAACATAATGAGATTAGTTATGAATATTCAGTTATCAGATCTCAGATTTATTTTTTATTATTCTTAACACCCACATTCTGTCACTGTTGGTTTTCCTGCTTTTCTCTGCATCTACCCATGACTCATTTGTCACTTGCAAATCTGAAGCATTTAATTTTAGACATTTGTCTTCTGAGAATCAGTCATAAATACTGTAAGAGCTGACAGTCTTCTAAGACAAAAATGTCACCTCCCTCCAGAGATGTTGAGCTTTATTCTTCATGCTCTTATCTTCCTATTCTTCCACTTATTTCTGCAGAGGTAGTCCTAATTCACATCAGCCTCATTGAAGAATCAATTAGATAATTTCAAGGCTTAGCAAAGAAGAGCAGTTAACTAGGAGCAATGGATTCAAAATACTTATTTGTGCTGTAGTAATGTATTTTCAGCAAATACTATTTTAAGGGAATTTGCACCTCCTGCAGTAGAAATGAATAAATGTCAGACCAAAAAGAAAATATGAAATCAATATTATGCAGTTTTACTTTTTTAGAAGTAGAAGAAGACTTTTAAACAGGGATTAAATGTGTATGATGACTGCTCCAACCATTTGAATCACTTGTCTTGTAAATAATTTTAATTTTTCTATGCTGTTTTTCTATGTTGTTTTCCTTCCCCTGCTTTAATATTGAGCTTTTTCACTGTGATACCCAGGAAAAAACCTGCTGGAATATCACAGCTATTGTGGAGCTCTGCCAAATGAGAGAGCCCACACAAACAGGCACAGGTCAAATGCTACCATATCAAACATTCTTGACACCTTTTAAAAAGGTATATTTTAATCATATTGCTCACGACAAATTGCACATGGAATTTCCTTGACTATACAAAGGTGGTCAGGCTAAGCCTGTCTAGAAGAAACCCAACTCCATGAAAACCAAGACCAGATCCTATTTATCCTCACAGAATCACAGAATAACAGAATCAACTAGGTTGAAAAAGATCTTTGAGGTCATCGAGTCCAACCTATGACCTAACACTACCTTGTCAACTAGACCACATCCAGTCTTTTCTTCAACACTCCCAGGG